ATAAGCATTAAACGTGGAGTCACCAACATCAGCGAATAGCGGCAGCCAGTGCGCTTGGCGATCGTTACTTTCGGCGACTACACGTTCGATAGGTACCGTTTGGCGACTGACAATCGCCCGTCGTCCATACCAGCGACTAACGATCGCAAATATCGGCGACAAAAATCCCCAGTCTTACAAGTGTTTGATGCGTATCGATCGATGGTCCTTGAGGAGTATAGCGCCACCAAAGTAGTGCTTACTGGGATTTGATAGCGTTGTAATGGGTAGACCTTCACTCTGACCTACCAGTAAAGTCTGTAGCGAACAAGCGCGCCTGGCAAGCCTGAAATCCACTCCGGAAGTCTTCCGACCCCACCCACTTACACGAGATTTCAACGAATGAAAGAGCTTTAAAAAACCTCATTTTCGCCATTTTTATGCGCTGAAAAGCCCAGATATGGGTTTAGCATGGCAAGGCCCCGAAAAGGTAAAAAACTGGAAAGCGAAGTTATGCGGGACACTACTTCAAGTAAAGATTGTGTTAAATGCGCAATCTTTTTTTCAACTACTTTGGAATTTTGCCTTTCACTGTATACAAGTTAGTTGAGCAAGGGACATATAAGCGTTTACTACCATCCGTTTAATTCACGCCAATACTGTGAATACTCCTTGCTGAATGGAAGTATGAGCACACTTTTATCAAGTTTACTGTAACTTTCTCAACCTACACACTCACTTTATTTGATAGGCAAATCAGGCTGCTAATTTTATTCACAAATCTAGCCAGAAAGCTGTGCCTAATCTGGCTTGCTGGAAAATGCCTACATACAGGGTGTTTCAAAAAACATGTGCCTACTGATTGTTAGTAACACTCTTGAAATGAAGTCCATCAAGAAGCTCTAGGCACCGTTAGCTGGCTTCGACTCAAATTTACAGTATAATGCAAAAAATCCTTTTCATTAATGTACGGAGAACTTTGATTACGGAGAACTTTAATGTTTGTGTAAATAAGGGCCATATTTTCTCCCTAGATTACTAAAAAGCAGAGACTAGCAAGGCTCCTTTCTAGATTAAGGAATTGCTATTTACAACCAGGAAACTCGCACATCGCCGCAACGCATTTTTCATAAGTCTTGCGCGATATATCATAACAACCAACTTCTGCTACTCGTCAAAAATCTGATTAAACCACTTAGAAAGCTCTACGAAAGCGCATTTTGTGTGCCAAAATTAGCATGCATGAAAAACTTTACACAATTTTTTCATTTTTTTTTGAAAAATTTTTTCCAAACGGCTTTCGCAGTAGCGCCATATGCTGCAGGTTCCTGCCGTGCTCAGTAATTAAGGTAGACTGATGATTCGCTCCATACCACTGATCTAGCTTGAAGCCAATTAACGGTACCGAAAGCTTTTCGAAAGACTTCATTACAAGGGGGAACTGAAGCTAACTACTCAAAGCATTGCCGCAGCGTAGTAAGGTCACGAGTTACCAGCAACGTTGATTAGCACCTGCACACATTGGCTCAGCACCGTACGCAGAGCCAATGTGTGCATACAGCACCCTCGTCCTCATCCGGGGACACATAAAACTGAATTACAATGAAATTTCGATCAAAGTTCAGTAGCGATATATGTCCGGTTGAAGTAAAAACTTGCATTTAGGTTCTAAAGCATATTCGAAAACGAGTGCTTTAGGTGCTAAAGCACGCGTTTTCGAATATGCTAATAGTTTTGCTCAATGATTTCAAACTTATTTTCTTCTATAAAGTTTTTTAACGTCTTCAATGTGAATTTGGAAAGCTGATATTTAAGGGATTTTATCAAGCTGATTTATTAAGTCTACAGTGAAGTCGTAAAAGCTCGATCTTTCAAAAAGCAAACAAATTTGAAAGCATCGAGCAAAACCATTAGCATATTCGAAACAGGGTGTTTGAGAACCCCTAAATGCACTCTTCAATCGACGTGTATCGCTACTGAACTTTAAATTCGGAGTTTCGTTGAAATTCGGTTTCATGTGTTCCCGGATGAGGAGAGGGTGCTGCATGCACACATTGGCTCTGTATACGGTGCTGATCAAGTGCTAATCAACGTTGCTGGTAACTCATGACCTTACTACGCTGCGGCAATGCTTTGGGTAGACAAGTTTTCCTCACCCCTTTACAAGAGAGTTATTTGCAATCAAAGAGGGCATCTTTTTGGGATACCCAATATATTGAATTTGTAAACATTGAAAGCATTACTCAGGAACAGCTATCAGTATCTTCAGACTGGTGTAATATTGACCATTGTTTTTGGTTTTGTTAACTGGCATACTATGGTAAAGCTGGTAACGTGCTCTCAGTACCTCAGCAGAAAGTAAACGTAACTTCATTGTGATAGTACATAAAATAAATATGAACATCATTTGCAGGAAGATGGAGAGAATGGAAAAGTCAAAAAGGAAAGTCGCTAGTGCGGAATCAGTGATGACTAAACAGGAGAAAGAGCAGAAAACACCAGAATCAGTAACTACGTCTACTGAGGCAACCCACTATATCACTCCACGCGAAAGGCTAGCAAATTTAATCGACATATAATTCTGCTGAATGGCTTGTATGAATATTATTTCGCAGCAAGATTCAAGCATTTTTTATGCTACCTTTCAATACCAGCATAAGTCTTCGCACAATTAGATAGCACATTTCCTGCTTTTTCATTGGCACATACTTAGCAATAACCAATTACAATCACCTGTAACTTCAGAAATTCAATTGTTTGTTATAAACCAATCATCAGCATGCTATCAATTCACAAAAATAATCCGCTGTTGAGCTCATTGCCTAAAGCTGAAGTTGACAGACAACCCCTCGCGCTCTCCAAAATGTTTTCAGATGATCAAAAAATTCCCACTTCACTTTAAAGTGAAGGAGTAGAAGAAAGAGAGAGAAAAAGAGTAGTGCATTTTTTGAGTGTAAAAAGAGGTAGCTGACTTACCTTCAAAATACAGTCAATCGTGTCCGAAGATGAATACTTCACTTGGTTGACCCAATGTTTGGAAACCTTAGAATTTACTAAAACTTGGTCCAATGGGTTACTTAACGTGCTTAATACGAAAAGGATACTCATTACAATTGTTAGATCGTTCTTTATCATGCTTAATACGGTGATGAATCGATACTTCATGTGCTTGTATTCGCAAAAGAGCTTGAGTGACCCATGTTATCTCGCACATCAGTTCTCGTCGATTACGCCCATTTTCCCTCTTCGACCCCTCAGCTTGGCTCCGTGTGACGTGCCATACACACGCTTGACCCTGGGCATGCCTCGATCGGCTAGGTGTATAAGGTAAGTTGTAAAACAGCATCTGTTGTTCTGACCCGTCATATCGTCGTTTGAAATCAGATGTAACTTCTGATAGCTGCATCGCAGTTGGTATTTGTGACGCAACCCTTTCTTCCATCTCTTTTCTATCATAAAGCGTTTCTTTACAACGTAGGTTTCTTCATCCTAATCGACGTTCTCCCATTACTGAGGTACTGATGTAAGACGATGTTACTTTCAGATGAACAAGCATTCTCTGTGGTGAGTACTTTGACTTAAAAACCCACCAACATGGTGAATAAACGTTTCTTGATTTGAAGAAATGAAAGAAAGGGTTACGCCACAAATATGGAATGCGATGCACTACCAGGAGTTATACCTGAATTTCAAACGACGACAAGACTGGTCAAAAACAAGAGCTGCTTTCTAATTTACCTTCTACTCCTACTCGATTGCGGCATACGAAAAGAAAAGAGAAGAACGAATGAAGAAAACACTTGAATTACCTGGAACTCCTCGGTCTATGGTAATTGTTCAGGCGCAGTGCTGCCGCTTCTCTAGACGCCTTAAAATTATCGGGAAATCTACCTCGACTATGTGTCGGCGGAGGAGAGGATGAAAGTGGCTGAGGGGGGACGGGAGGGGTAGAATCCGGCACGATGGTTTGGGGTCAAACTGGACTTCGTTTTTGAAGTTAGAAGCAACGGGGATATTGTTTTTACAATGTCCTGGTGGGGGCACCGAATAAAAAAGAACGACGAACATGTCAGGTTTCACGAGTTGAACGTGTTCTTTTGCAAGCGCGGGAATTTCAAACGCAAGATTCAAACACATAAATGGATTGTTTACAGCATACAGACAATACGTGGCTCCGAATTTTTGCTATGTGTATACAATATAACTCCAAATTATGTCATGTAAAAAGTTCCAAAAACTTATGTGTCCTAATATCCGTTCCCGAATTTGTTGGTTTCTAGACCAACACTAAACCAACCGGATTGGTTCGGAGCATAAATATCAGAGAGTCACATAAGTTTTGGATCATTTTAATTTGACGATTAGAACGGTCAAAAATCTATCATATAGTGAAGAGAGCGAATCAAACCATTGCCTCTCCTTTTTTGAGCCAAAAGTAGTGTAAATCTACTCGTCGATAGATATCGCGCTCCAATCACATGCATTGTGCTTTGAACTATGTGGCGTAAAATGATCGCCAGATTCTGAGGCCACAGATTTGGTTGGTCTAGGAAGTTTTCGAACTCAAAATGGGCTTTTTCGCTTTTCTATTGTTATTCTGGTTGCATAAGGGTTGTTCACCATCCCAATAAATCTTTTAAGCGGCTTCTATTATGAAAACTTATTTTTCATTTGGTAATGTAGCTTTTCAGTGACCGAAAAAACGTATCCACTTTGCTTTTTGCCCTCAAAACCATACCCAAATGCTTGTGTGTACCTGTGTCGAGCGCTATATAGAATATATGCCACGGAAATAGTTAAAATGAAAATGCTACTCAAACCAGCCGCTTTTTTCGTACAGTATGTAGAATTGAAGGTTCACAAAAACTTTCAATAATCTAAAGTTTTTTACAGTTATAATTGTGTTACTGGTGTCAGAATAGCCAGTGTTTCTGATTCCGAAAACGCAGATCATACTCTACTGATTAAATATGTAAAGCTTTGCCTTATGAAGTGCTTCAGACGCGTCAGTCTGAACTTCGGTGATATGGCGAAAGAAGCATTTGTTAACAGGGAAACTCCGACATTGAGAGACTTGGCAAAACCAGTGAAGTAAGTCAATTACTCAGTAGGTGGCTATCTAAGTTACTCACTAAAGAACGATAATTTTTCTATTTACAAGCGTAGATTTCGAGGTGCATGAATACGATTTGAAATTAGTTTGTTGTCGCAAGTTGAAAATATATAGTGCTTCGATGTTGTTTTGAAATCAGTGATTTGGCAAAACTATCATTTGAGTTAGACCTACCATTAATTCAGAGTTTACTACTTACGCCAAGTTTATTACTGACGCCCGCTCACCAAAAGCCGATTGCTCATTCAATACAAAGAGTTATGTATGTCAATGCACCAGCCCTACCCCCTAATACTTCTACGTATTCAGACAAGGAGGGCTCACTCGCTTCAAAGCAGTGTCTTCACCGTTTTCGATAAATCTATTGCGGATGCTTTTCGATATCTTTAGAACTAAGCTTTCGAAATGCGGTTGGCTTTCTAACTAAACAACATTCTAAATCCTTATAGATATGCAATAATCAAGGGAGCTGAGTCATGATGAAAACTGTATAAAAGATGCACAATACGGATATACAAAATATCGAAAAAGTCGTCCATGCTTTCAAACGCGACTCGACATAACTGAACATCTCAAAGTTTTGACATGCCGCAATGTTATAACCATGAGGATCCACTACTTCGAATCCGCGTCTTCGCCCTTGGCATGAACAGTTCTAATCGTCCAAATTCAAAATGAAGGGCTACCTTGGAGTACCTCGTATTTGCCATTTTCGCCCCCTTAAGGCGCATTTCCAAGACAGCGCGACGATAATCAAAGGTAAGTGAAAGGATTTCAAATCGTCTTAAGCACAGCTTTTGCCTTTGAAGCCTCTTGTTCAACATGCATGCGTAAAAGCAAGTGATTATTGTAAATGAGGAGAACTTCGCCTATCATAATTTTGGTCTTCGATTGTTTGATAACGCTCAAAATCTGTTCATAAGCTCGTCAGTACACAGTGAAAAAAATTGCAAGAAGTTTCGCAAGATTTCTGCTCGACTCTTCAACAAGTAACTCACGCTTGGCGAGATAGAAGTTTGGGGCAAAGAGTACGCTGTAGTTGTTCCTCTTATGCAAAACTAGCTGGCAAACACGCTCCACTGGCTCTGTCAGTAATACCTTCCTAACAGCACGCTCATTTATCCTCCTATGCCAACTCTTGCCAATTTGTCATCCGCCACCTTTGCATGGTTCTCTATATGACTCTTAGGCCCGTATGTATGTACCTCCCCGAGGAGGGGAGGCGATCGAGTGGACGCGTCACATTTCATTACACTACAGTGTAAGTGCCACCCTCGTCCTGGTGATTTATAGAATTCTATAGATCACCAGGACGAGGGTGGCAAAAGAATGCGAAACGACCTCGCCTTTGCCACCATCAACTTTTACGATTTCCCATTTGATCTCGCCAGCTGCGTAGGTTGTTCGACTGGAGCGCGCTTTCTTCAACAGAAAGGCCGGTGCCATTGCTATTTTGGATCCTAACAAGGAGTAGAGGAGGAGATTTGAAACCAAAATGTTATTATAAACTAAACTTTAGGTTTAGAACAGATTACTGTAAAAATTTTGAAAACCTTATGTGTGGAAGGTTTGTTCAAGCTTTGCTCTTTAGTACCAAGGCGCGTATACATGCCAAATCTCGCGCGATTTCAACACCTCTACATTGCATACTAGCCATTTTTCCATTTTTTGGTAGCGGAGAAGTTTCAGAAAAAAGCTTGCCACAACCTCTAGTCAGATGATTTTTCAGTGAGATTTTTCAGTTAATCCCTGCAGGCCATGTTCATCTATGTAGCAAGTTCAACATCATATCGTCATCTGCGCGTTGCAAACGAGCCGTTTGAATTCACATACCCATTCACCAGTTACACAAAATTTTTGGAAAAAAAATGTTTGTTACACTTTCATAATTTTTCACACTTAGTTTGCACTAAAGTCTCTTCGCTCGCTTACGAAAATTTGTGCCATATCGCTACGCATACATTGAGAACTGGTCATGAATGCAGTTACAAATAGCATTGTTTAACGACTTCGCGCTGCGGCAATTGGCGACGGCGCGGTTTGACGCTCGCGAACTCCACGCATGTTGATGCACATAATATGGGAGTTTATGATAAATGCTTCAGCTGTGTTATACAAATCTGTACTCCTATTTTTCTGTCTGCATTATAGAGGTTATTGTCATGACTAACGGGCTAAGATTGCTTACGTAACTTTATGTTATTTCCGTTTGTCTGTCTGTAACAAAATTCACAGAGCGAGCTCCAGCAGAGGCCGAATTTAGAATTTGAACATGGCATCCTATCAGCATGTAGGTCCAGTGTGAAACGCGGAAGCGGATTAGATGAGCATAACCTTAACTGTGCGCCAAATGGACCCATATGCCTTCAGCCCACAATGATGGGACTGTAGCTAGACTTTTGCAAGGGTATAGATTTGTATGGTATGTGTATATTCAAAAAGTTGGCTTTAGCACGAATTTTTTTTAAACTCATGTTTTTTGCAAGAACGGCGCTAAAAGAGAATAATTGCGTAAACGGTGCATTTGTAAAGGTTTCTCAAGAATTTTGGAATATTTTTGCTTAGAGATGTAGCTTAAGGTGGTCATTTTCAGAATGTCACAATTACAAAGCCATATTATATCTAGTAATCAACGCAAATTCGCTTATATTCATCGGCACAGAGATATTCTTCTCCCAAAGTTACCGATCCTACATGAAAAGATTTTGGTAGGAGCAGACGTTTACAAATCATTCGTGATGGCCAGCGTTGCGCGGTCAGTTTCATAGCCAAGAATCTAAATTTCAAGGACATTAATACGCCAGTACGAGGAAAGCGTATAAGCAGTAGTCCCACATAGCTAGTGGGACCAGTGCGACCCTTTGCGAAACAAAGGCAATGTACTGGTACTCTGATACTTGTGTATAACGAATGACAGAGCATTGCCATACAAACTGGGTTTTCAGTTTGGTGTGATCTTCCAGAGATCCTCAGGAGATCACCCCTTGTTTTCAAAGCGCTCTACCTTTCGAAAGAGTCGATAAAAACATCGTAGTTGCACTGAGTATCTATTGTGGCACTGCCAGAGATGAAAAGACATGCCAGATTCATTGTGCAAGTTGCGAGTTTTTCGATGAACCCCAGATAGCGAAAACGGTTCATTGAAGATTTCGATATCCTGAATTTCACTAATTTATACTATAAATATGTTCGGCAGTGCCATAGTATTCGAGTCATTCGTAACTTAATATGCGTAGTGCACACTTTACACGTTAACTGACGAACTGCGAAACTAGAACCTGCTCATTTCCAGTGATTTCTCTTTGTTTCCTTGTTTCTTTTGTTTTAGTCGGTTATATGTTAGTCAATAGAACACATTTCTACATTTTGTGAGGCTAGAAAATGTTTTACTGAGAAGTTACTAGTATGGGTGCCGTCACTAATAGGGCTTAGTGTGCAATCCCACATATTAAGTTACAAATGACTCGAGGTTATTCTCGGTACTATTTCACAGCATTTCATTGGGTTTATATGAAGGCAAATGAGTTTGAAAATGCAACGTGATCCACAAGAAACATTGAAAAGCTAGGTTTCTATGGCTGAGCTTTCCCTCAATTTGAAAGGTAGAACATAATCTCCCTTAGTCACCCATAGTGTACACTTCTACAGAACACATCGCTTCATCCAAAACTTTTACCGCGCCAAACAAAGAAAGGGAGAGTGTTTTGTCATCGCATCTTCCTTTTCTTTTTTGTCCGCATAACTGATGTACCAATAATTGCTCGCAGAATGTGTTCATCAACATTGCGCACTGTATGTAAGACTGAAATTCATTTTCCTCAACGAATAGTGTGCGGGTGAGCTTGGTAGGGCATAAATGAATGGTATCAAGAATAATTTTCATATTCCGTAATCATTAAACCTGGGCATGATCGTAAGTGTCGAATATTGTTGTGCCGAACAGGTTGTTAGGTGGTCCTTTTATTGTCAGTACTCTTCGGCCTTACGTTTCGACGCTTTCGTCTTCATCAGAGGCCAGGGAACCACCGCTTCGTTAGATGTCCGTGCCGGATGTAGATGTTCGTGACGGACGACTCGTCATTCGAGTCGTCCGTCACGAACATCTACATCCGGCACGGACATCTAACGAAGCGGTGGTTCCCTGGCCTCTGATGAAGACGAAAGCGTCGAAACGTAAGGCCGAAGAGTACTGACAATAAAAGGACCACCTAACAACCTGTTCGGTACAACAATATTCGACACTTGGTACCAAGAATTTTATTAGGTTGCAAGGAAAGTTATCGGGCTTTCCAACCATAAAAATTTCACATTTTTTCTTCCTACGGCTATTTTTTGCAATTCAAGAAACGTCTAAATCACGGGTGGTGGTACGATATAGGAGCCTGTTAACTTCTACCGCACAGGTGCACTTGAGTCTTGCGCTTTGCGCTTTGAAATTACAAGCTGTCGAACTTGCCTTTGACTGCAACTCTTTTAGCAGCTGACGTCGCTTCCGCGGGGATCGCCACTGAGGCCCGGCACAGATCTTCTGGAAGCAGGCTGGACTTCGTTCGCGGAGCAAAAAACGAAAAGGATTTTGTTTTTGCGGAGTCGGGCCGCACACCAAAGATAAGCGCCATTTAATCGAAAACAAGTTCTTTGGACAGGTTAACACACAATTGACATGTTCTATCGCGTATGGTGAAAAGTGCGGCGATTCAAAAGCAAGGCTGAAGTAAACAAGTTGCTTGTTTACAGCGCACGCAGACATATAGCACCAAAACTGAGAGGTATACATAGAAAATTATTCGCGGAAAAACGTTAAAGGACTCAAAAACTTATGTGAAGAATTACCTTTTCCAAAAATAATCCGTCTCCAGGCGGCCACCAGACGATCTGGGATCGTCTGGAGCATATATTTCTGTCACTTCATATAAGTTTCAGATTTCCTTGGCATGGACGTTCCCTGGTCAAAAATCTGTCCCTGAGCATGGAGACATTTTCATATCATTGCCTTTCCTTTGTTTTTTTGCCTGAAAGGCAGCGTCCAGGCAGATCTGCACCTATGGGGTTTTTACGTGGAAAGTACTTTTGGGGCCCTAACTAAGGCACTGTCCAAGCGGCAGCTCAGATAGTGCTGTAATTGCTGAGATATTCCCCTCGAAACTAAACCCCGCGACCGTGTTTCGCATGGATTCATGGTGCAAAGCGTGGATCCTGGCGCGAACCTGCCATGAATCCATGCGAATACGTTCGCGGGGGCCAGTTTCGAGGGGAATATCTCAGCCATTAGAGCACTACCTGAGCTGCCGCTTGGGCAGTGCCTTAGTTAGGGCCCCAAAAGTACTTTCCACGTAAAAGCCCCATAGGTCAAGATCTGCCTGGACGCTGCCTTTAATTTCTTTATGAATGGCCTTGGTAGATATCGCGCTCCAATGCCAAACTCATGTGCATGCATAGTATCCAGCTCCAACTTGGATTTACACTCTTATATCACGTTTATTCTTCCAAACCAGTAACTTTTTATCGTTTTCATCTTCTCCTAAGTCGGTAGGTCAAAGGGGACTTCGTAAAACTTCCAAAAGTCGGGGGGCTTCGTTTTCAAAAAGCTCAAAAACGGACTTGTGCCGGGCCCTGATCGCCATGCCTAATTGATGGGCCCAAAAAATGTGTAAGGCATTAACCCAACAATGTTCGCAGTAGTCAAAGATTTGGTCCGCCCTGTGCAGAATGAGAAGACTTCATAGTCACTTGCTCGAAGAATGGTGCATTTATGGGGCAAAAATGTTCGATTTTTCAAACTTTCTGGAAAAACTATTTAGCAAGTCTCTTAAAGACCTAAATGGTCTCCATAACAGCCCCAGCAGAAATCTTTATAATTACAGCATCTGACCTCTCCAGCTCTCATCATGCTTGAGATAATCCTGCACAGATAGGCCACTTTCGCACCCAGTGAGGTGCTAAAAGGACAGCAAGACAAATATATGTTTTATACAAAATTGCCTTTGCAATGAAGTTCGCAACTTTGAAGAAAAATCAATATGTTGTAGACAAAATTGCCTTTGCAGTGAAGTTCGCAACTTTGAAGAAGAACCAATCTGCTTTTTACAGCAATTTAAAAAATATTTTCACAAGTGCCCGGGAACTTTCTTTACGATCTATCATAAAAAAATAGCAATAGTTGTTGATATATAACTCCTGCTTGTTGCGACCGTACATTTCCCCGGGTAAGACATGTTTACTATCGCAATTCTTAGTTAGGCAAAAGCTCTGCATTTTTTTTGATTTTTTAACCGTTTCTTCTTCTGCTGTCACAAGCTTCAAGATTCCTCTTTACACATGGAAATTTAGTTATAGGCGACTCGCATGCTTATAGCGAGCGTGGATTTGCAAACATTTAAACACGTTGAAAGACTTGTTGAACCTTCATTCTAACACATTAGTTTTTGTACTCCTTACCTATGAAAAACTGTCAGCGCACGCGTTGGCAAACGTCAGCAAAGCTCTGTCAGCTATACTGCGAGGAATGGACGGTATCATTTCGTATTACATCATATTCTGTGGGTTTTTTGCGTGAGTTTTGCAGAACGAGTGTCAAGAGTCTCAGATTTTAACTGAAAAAAAGAAGAATCTGAGCGTCTAATTTACTGGATTTGTCCAGTAAGAGATTTTCGAATTTGAGATAGGTTAATGTACTACAAGCGGTTGCGGTTTTTATATAATGCGGTAGGGGTAATCCGCATGTCAGCGCTTACACCAAAATTGGCGCCCGATCACCGAACTCTCAAAAATAAGGTTTGTGAGTAAGACTATGCAGCTTATGATATTCCTGCATTAACAATAACTGAAAACTACAATACCGTTTACAGAATGTGCAAAATTTCGCGACATTCACGGGAATTTTGCACATTCTGTGAGCGGTATTGTTATTAAATGCTATATCAGAGATTGGATGTGAGACACCCACGACCATGACATTTAGGTTTGCTGCAAATGCTTGCATATTGGGTCTGCAGATAGGAATCTGCAGTGCTTGTTACGTCTTCGTCGCAGAGCATTTACAAGAAGTCGAGTTCTTTGATGATTCTTCACACAATAATCTGAAGTGAGATGCCATCTTTAGGTCGCTGAGTATATCTTCTCGCTACATGTGTCACGCATTCTATCATTTTTCATACTTCTGCCTTTTTTTATTCTTCTGGCCTCTGTTCGCAATCTAGCATTATTATCGTGGGTTGGTCTTGCGGGAAATGTGTTGCTTGCATTGATAATAATTACTATTAATGTGGTAAGAAAAACATGTACCTAACCTATGCAAAAAACTGAAAAACATTACTCAGTTTTCAGCAAATGATGTTCATGACACACTTACCTATCTCCAAACTACCTTCTTTTACATCGGTCGGAGGTGCTACATCAGCTGCTGGTACTCTTGCCTATGCTTTCGTCGGTCAAGGAGTGGTCAGCTATAGATTACAGTGCTGTGCTGGTCATAGCTATAAAGACATCCCAAAAATCACGGTAATTTGCTCTTTTATGGATGAAATTGTCTAAAAAGCCACCTTTCTTTGTGTGGACCGAAGTTATAATACTATTCAGAACGGCTTCCACTTCCATTAATTTCGGCAAAAAAAAAATAAAAATTCAAAAAAAGGTGTTCCAAGGCCGGTCTCAGCTGTAAGGCCACCCTTTATTTTCAATCAGTTCAAGCAAGACATGCAATACAGATAATGTTTCCAAATGGCGACAGCTTCCAGGTGTGAAACATGTTACATCTTTCAATGCTGTGACTGTAGAAAAAATTCTAGATTCAAAGACGTGGCTTGGTAGTAAGAGGTGGCCTTATATTGTAACCAGCTTCGAAACACATTTTTCGCAATAACTTTTCTCCCATAAAATCAATAAGTATTCTAAACAGTGATACGTATAGTGTTGGTTTATATATAGAATGAAGATTTTCAAACGACTTCATCCAAGACAGGGCAAGTTACCATGATGTTTTAGGGTGGCTTTATAGCTATGGCCAATTTCTTTTTGCAGATATTATCGATAGAGAACAAAATGAAAAAACCTGAGGACATGTTAGGGCCATGTGGAGTCATCTCAGCAGTAATGATTATGCTTACTATTCTTTACGCTGCGACAGCTGTTTTGGGCTATGTCACTTACGGCGATCAGTTGAGAGGCAGTGTCACCCTCAATTTGTCCAATTCTGCGTAAGTCACTTGAAGTTAAAACTATAATTGTGTGACACCAGCTATAGACCCTTGCTGAAATATAGAGCGCAGCGAGAAAAATGGAAGAAAGGTAGAGATCAGATGGCATAATAAAAGAAATGCTTTAACTAATTAGTTATCGATTTAATTTGTTATCGATGCTAGGTTTTTCATTACAGGAAAGCTTCGTGCCTTACCGATTGACACAAAATGATCCTCAGAGAGTGTGATGGGCCCTTGAAAACCTGTTTTTTTACGCACTAACTGTGGCCGTGGCCGAGAAGCACCCCTAAAAATTTTTCGGAGTGCGTGGCTAACGCCACGCACCTTCATTCAAAAAAAAAATTGATGGTTCAACAGTGGTGTCTCGATCTGATCCAGCATCATGATGGCTTCAGCTAGGATGTCTTCGATGGGGAGGCTTTCATGCGCTCTCTCATCCGGTCATTTACTTCCCGTGCATACTCGCGAGCCATGCGTACACAGCTAGTTCCTGCGTGAGGCTGTCTATGTCGACTGCGTACCGGCGACTTCAACATCTCGGTCCCAATTTTCCCAGTTCGGCCCCATGTCACGCACTAACCGGGGTCATTAGTGCGAGGGCGGATGTCCAGGTGGGGATCGAGAGAGTAATAGAAGAATTTATTAGAAGACTAGAAATAGGCGGCAATTACAACAAACTGAAACAACGGTCGGGCGGCCTTTTCTACAGCAGCCACGGTACAAAGTACATGGTCAGGATCAAAATTCAATAATTATTGCCTGTGGCCTATATCTACCCGGCATCCATCCTTGACGTGCCCCTTCGTCGGTAAAAGTCCTCCCGATTCGTGACTTGTGCATAGTGTGGATTAACAACTCCCGCGTCTTGACCGATACCAAGGAACTGACGACAAGGCTTCGCCCACCGCCATAGTAGGAGTGCTGTTGTAGCATCGATGGCCGACCACCTTGGCTACCCGCATTGTGGCAATCATCTGCCAAATAAGAGGTTGTCCTTGCATCCACTTACGACTATACCTGGAAATAGAATCAAGGGGTCTAATGCGATATTTGTGGCTCTTAGGAGGTGAATTCAGCATCGGACTCGGTTGTCTTCATGTCATCTCTTGAGCTAGAACATTGTGAATCTCGATATTCGATTCGGCGGCTTTTGACACCTGCCTCTCTTAACTCTCTTAAGCTGTCGCTCCAGGAACCACATAGGATTGCAGATCCTCGTGTTCTCCCCCGCCACGGTAAGCTTGGCCCCTGCCAAATCAACGTCGTCTGAACGCGACCGCTCTTGCCCTTTGTACTCGAGCCTACTTTACAGTTTGCGACCTCTCTCCATACTCCTTTAGGCGGCGTTCATACTGCTCCCGAAATCCGGGAACAGTCCCAGCACAGCGCTCAACTCGAGCTCTGCGCTGGAAATGTTCCCAGACTTCGGGATCAGTATGAACGCAGCCTTACGATTAGGAGACATCTCAGTTCTTGGTCTAATATACGAAAGCGGTGCAGTCTTGAGCTGTTGTTTCCGCTTTCTCCGTTTTCTTGGAGCATCGACTTGGACGAGTTTTTCGACAACTGCCCTTTTTGTGCCACTATGAGTGTTTCTAACATCAACGATAGGTGGCCAAGTTGCGGTAGCGCATTTGCTCCAAGCACAATTCTGCCATCTCCTCCCTCTCTAACCAAAAGGCTACCCTGTGCTTGGTGCCACTCTCGACTTGCAAAGTGAGCTTCACCGCTTTCTTGAACTTCATGCGTTTCCTGGAGGCATCGTATGCGGAAGGTAACTGCTAGATCGGGATTTCTTTAACGTCAACATTCAGATCAAATCCCCTTTTTATGCTCTTTATTAGCAATCTCAGAGGGATGATGCTATTTTGAGAGCTTGTATCTACCATAGCTCTTCGAAACAATCCCAGCAAATACACATTTAACACCATTTAGCATCAAACAGCTGATTTTTCCTTGATCGTGTCCTTGCCGAGCTGCAAATCCATCGATCCAAAGATGCCGTAAAGTTACTTGGGCACTGTTCAAGTTTCTTTGCTGACCTTGAAATTTTATCTTTGTCACCTCGCGACTATAATTTCCTGGTTTGTTACAGTTTGCACCGCCACAGCCATCTCCCTGCTACGTTTACGGTGGTGAACATCTGGAAGTATCCAGGCCAGTCCCTCAACTGCAAAACCAAATCTGCAGCTCTTATACATGAGACCTGCTTGTCTGTGGTGTCTGGATACGCTAACTGCGTAAGTCTCTCTAACTCAAGACAGAAGGCTGTAATGTCCTTTGTCATCCGCAGATGTTTAAGTTCTACATACGCAATCATTTGATTAGCAGACTCATTTATGCTACATTTGTTTCGCAGTGCTTCTACATTTTCTTCAAAAGTACTCTCTCGTATCCTCCTTGATAGTGTTTCGGCCACTGTCTTAGGATATCCGTCCAATTTAGACAGAAAAAAGGTGTACTAGCATGTCGTTATGCAGTGCAAATGTACCATACTTCATTATGAATCTTCAAACAAAATCATCGAAGTTTCTTCCTTAGAGATCTCCGTAGAGCTCAACCTCTGGAAGGGCCATTGCTGCAAACATCTCTGCAATTTGCCAGAGCAACCTCCCCTTATCATACCGATTGGTCGATACGGGCTTGTATGCGGACCTCTTTTCTGACACTCCAGCACTTTCTGCATGGTGTCCACCGCCTTCTTAGATGAAAACAATTCTCGCTTAAGCTCGATATCTGTACGAGATAGAGTTTTATTTGAATCCAATGTTTTGTGCTTCACCTGCAGCACAAATTCAAGATGATGTATCAGCTCACGGTACACACGCGTATACCCCACCTCTCTCTAGGCTGGGTTTTGCGGCTGAGGTTTCAAGATATTGGGGACCTCCTATCTTTGGAATTAGAAGCCAACCAAAATCTTGTTTTTTTTTATTTTTCGCTTTTAATGGCTGTGTTTCACCAAATATTACTCGGAGCTAAGAGGACGAATCAGGCTCAAATCACTCTTATAAAATCTACGAGGTCTAGGCTATAGACTTATATAAATAACGTTAGCTAGAAATTTTTTTTGATATAGTTAATGGGGTGTGGCACCACCCCTAAAAAGCTGTGGCTGCCACAGCTTTTTAGAGGTGGTGCCACACCCCATTAACTTACCCCCAAACAGATCAGATAGCTGCTTTTTTATCTCGTTGTTACTGCTTAATCTTCTTCTTTACATAGCAGAAATTTCACATGAAAACGTTTCTTCAAGAACAAGATATAATCGTTTTTCCCTACCTATGCAAATGTAAAATACCGTTTAAATACTGCGAAAATATTGGGATACGCTAACATGGTAAGTCTGTGCTATTATGTGAATCGCAAGGAAAGGCGATAAGAATGTATATATTCGATAGACTAAGCCTCGTATTCTACACTAAAGTGATTTGAGCCTGATTGGCCTTCTCTACCCTGAGATATTGAAAACGAAAAATGGAAAAAACGAAATTTTGGCTTCCTCTTAATTCCTTAATTTGGAGGTCATTTGAAGTAGGATTCCTACTGTGAGCAAAGAAATAGTAGTTCTTTGTGTTAAGCGCTGAAAGAAGTAGTTAACTTCCGTATCAAAGTGAAATGTTTGAAGACGACCATCTCACTTAAGTGGTCCTGTATTTGGAAACATCAGAATTCGCTGAAACTTGGACCACAGGGCTTATTTTACTTGCTAATTACAAAACGATGCTATTATGCTTTGTAGATCTTCAATTATGCTTACTGTACTTATACGATAATGGTTCAAACATCAATGTGCTAGTATTTTGATGACGGGTTTATTTGACATTGGTAACGAATATCATGTTATGCGAACAGCGGGCGCCTTGATAACGACCCCCCCCCCCTGATTCCTCAATACGACCCCTCAAGTGTGGCATGCCACACCCCACGCTTGACCCTGGGTATAGCTGATACAAGCCATAAAGTATATCCCTTAATCAAGAGGGATCTGTCATTAAACAGTACACGCGCCGCTGCTCCCTTGTAGAGATAGATCGCGGCAGTGTAACTGACACCCTCCTTCGGTCCTCTGAGAAGGCTCGATGTGTTACACAACAGCTCCTTTCTAAATCAGGTATACACTGCCTCTCATGAGGCAGGTTACACGCCCTCACCGAGGGGGTTGGTGGCTGTTTGGTTCGGCCCCCATGTCACGCACTAACCGCTTGTAGCGCATCAGCTGGGTATGCTGATGCGGAGGGCGTATGGCGTGTAGCAAAAATAAATACAAGAAAAAAACTTTATCCGGACAAGGCCAGAACAAAACAATAGCAATAAGAACGATAACAAACTGGCCGGCGGCCTTTTATAGCCGCGCGGATACAAAGTACATATGATCTACAATAAGACAATAATCGCATCGACACAAGCCTAATATCGGTTGTTTCTCATAACTATCCTACTATTTCCTTCACATGCCTCCCCGAAGAGTGGAGTCGTCTCGACCATGCCCATGCGTGTGATGCGAGTGTAGGAATGGATATCGGCTGTGCGACCTACGGTGGCTGCTAGGAGAGTTCGTCCTTCGGTTCGGGGCTTAGGACGGATCTTGAAACGTTATCGGTGCTCGATGACGCTTTCTCTGCGGATCGGCAATCACCTAGAAATTGGGCATATACTTTTCCTTGTGGCGCCGCGCCTACATATCTTCTCTCCCCTTCGCTGCTCGCGCTTTAGTGTCCTCAAACTTCGCCCTCCTGATGAGATCATGCACGGTAATCCTGATTTTCTCGAGAAACGTCAATATTTGGGGTCCAATGAAGGGCGCACCATTGCGTCTCGGGTTGACTCCTAAGCAACAGGCTGGATGTGTATACGGCGCACGATGCATGACGTCAGAGTAATGATCGTGAGTCACAGCCAGGAAGTTGCGGGATGGGTCCGTTAAAAATCGCCAAACTCGCGGCACACTTCGCCAACCCCTCTCCATTCTTCGGCATTCCGGTCATCATAGGG